TATTTGACTTATTGGATGAACACGCTGCTTTATTCAAATGTCTTTCATACAATATTCCAGTTTTGCGCATAAATTTAATTTGTGTTTTGAATGGAAACATAGCTAGTGGTAAACACTGTTGTTTTTTTAAATATTAAAAATAAATCTAAATTGAAATGCTGAACTGTGAAGAAAAATACACATATTGTGTGTCTTTTTTCTTTTTTGTCTGTCAATTTTTATGTTTTGTAAATAAAATAATTTTTTTTAAATGCTTATAAACAGAAAAAATAATTGTGGTTTGATAATATATGTCTTCCTGTGTGGCTTAATGAGGTAAAATATTTGAGTATACAGTTTTAGGTCCCACTTTATATTAGGTGTCCTTAACTACTATGTACTTGCATCAAAAAAATAAATACAATGTACTTACTGTGTTCATAATGTATTTGAGAACACTTGTGGTGCTCTTGAGTTGGGATAGGGGTTGGGTTATGGACTGGGTTGCTGGTATGGGTAGGTTTAGGGTGGGTTAAGGTGTAAGGGATGGTCAACAGTGTATTTACAAATGTAATTACAGAAGTTAATTACAGATGTAATTACATACAGGTATTTAATCAAGCAGAATTACACAATATATACATGTATTTAAAAAATAAGTACATTGTAAAAAACTATTAATTCCTGTGTAAGTACATAATAGTTAAGGCCACTTACAGTAATATAAAGTGGGACCCAGTTTTAATATATTTAAATAATTTCCTCTGATATTCACTGATGCAATTATGTTAGTCCATAATTGTTTTACCTTTTTTTCACACTCTTTCTGACTTTTAAAATTGTATCTTTTTTGCTTTGTCTTTTCAAATAATGCCTTCTTTGTGCATTAAAGTCCCATTGCAGTCATCACTTTTACACATGAAAAAGCATCTTTGAATGAAACTTAAAATTGGTCATTTAGTAATTTCTTATCTATGAATATGGATATGAACTGAAGTAGTAAATGCTACACTATCATCAGAGTTTTGAAAGTGACATTGTTCAAATTAAAAATAGTTAAAATTAGAGTGTTCAAACAATATTCCCTTATAATCCAAAAAATATGTAGTTCATGACATCTACACTTTGTTAAAATAAGAGCATTTACGAGTGTATAGAACGCTGCACAGAGTAAAACTTTGGCATAATGAGCAAAATGGCTTAACAGAAAGTGGAGATAATGATATGAAAGTCCTACCACACAAGCTATTGTTTGTTTTAGTTGTTTTGTTTTCTGGCTAAATCACATTTTAGATCATCCAATATTGTTCTTTCAGTAATTTCTAAAAACATTTTCATAAAATGGTTTCAAGAATTCGTTTAATGATCTTCTAATGGGCTGTTTTGTAACATCATAAACCCTAAAAAACAAAAAAATAAAAAGAATACATTTCTGAAAGTCTGTGGCTGAATAATCCATTCATTGTAGTTCTCGAAGAGATTTTTTTGAAAAGGAAATATCTCAACACAACACACTGACTAACATTCAAAAAGAGAGAGAAAAAAAAATCATTAGGACCGCTTTTAAATATTCAGAATATTTTTGTATGCACACTCTGAGATCACCGTTGTTATGTTGTTGTAATGAAGATGTTGACATTTTTTATTGTCTTTTTGCTTTCAGGCTCCTCGAATGCTGTCTGGTGGTGCTGCAGGTCTCGTCTCTGTGGACATTTTAAGGAAAGAACAGGAAGAAATTCGTAGAAGGGAAAAGCGCAACCAGCCTCTAGAAGGTCACTCGAAAAGCACCATTTTTATTGTGTATTAAATAGCATCACATCGCATTAACAATGGGGTTTTATTTTGCTCTGCCAGAGGCATCCAGAAATGCAGAGACAATATTTCGAGACAAGTCCGGTCGGAAACGTAACCTTGAGTCAGAAAAGGCTGAGCTTAGTCAGAAAGCTTCAGAGAAGGCTGAGAAGGATGAAAAATATGCACAGTGGGGAAAAGGGTGAGCTCCATTTAGTGATCTTCAAATGCAGTTTTTTTTTTTACAGATATTGTGATTTGTTGTTACCATCTTTGACCCCTGTACTGTCCTTTTTCAGTCTCGCTCAGGGTGAAATGCAGGAGCAGAATGTGATCGATGCCATACGGGAAGCCGAGAAGCCATTAGCGAGACACATTGACGATGAAGACCTTGATCGCATGCTAAGAGAGCAAGAGAGAGAAGGAGACCCAATGGCGGCAATGCTTCGCAAGAAGAAAGACAAAACTGCTAAATTAAAAGGAGTCAAAGGTAAAATAGTGGAATCATGTCTTCAAGGAACAATCTTTTTTTTTTTTGGCTCATTTCATAAATTGTTCTCAGGGTCTGGCGAGAGCTCTTTCATTTTAGCATAAATAACTAAATCGGATTAGACCATTAGCATCTCGCTTGTATTTAAAAAAAAAAAAGAGTTTTTTCCTATATGTTTTTATTTAAAGCTTCACACTTCTGTAGTCACATTGTAAACTAAGACTGAAGGAAAATTAAAAGCTGCAGGCTTTGGCTAGGAACTGCTGTGCTGTACCCATGCTGTTGTCTAGTTGTATTTTCAAGCACTGCGTGATATAATTGTGCTTGCTGTAGCCATAGTACAGCTACAAAGTTCATTGATTATTAAGCCAAGAATGAGAGTATACTTCCTAGCCATGTCAATCTAGAAAATAGCTACTTTTCATTTTCCATCGGTCTTAGTACATGATGTAACTACTGAAGATCAAGCTTTAAATGTGAAAATTGTCCAAAAAAAGTTTGTTTGGGTGAGATGCTTATGGTCTAATCCGATTTATTTATCTATGCTAAGCTAAGCTATGCTTAAAGTGCTGCCGCCAGACCTGGGGCCTCATGTATCAACACTGCGTACGCGCAAAAACTACACCAGGTTTCACGCTCAGAATCCCTCACGTTTAGATTTACTAACGATGAACTGAACGTGGGAATGTGCGCAGCTCCACGCCAGCTTTATGGCTGGTGTACGCACATTTTTTGTGCGTGTCTGTTTTATTTCCATTGGCGACTCCTAGAGGCAGTTGTGTTAAATTCCTCTCTACAAAGTGTCTGAGCCTTGCAATGGCAGCTGTATGAGACGGGTTCATCTAGCAGGTATACAAGGTTTCCATACCATACTTTTGACCAGCTAAACATTAAAGCACAATTTGCAGCGGTCGCCTGTTTTCCCAATGTAATCTGAGCTATCTACTGCACGCACATTGCTATAAAGACACTATCTGAAGATGAATTTGCATACGTGAATCAGAAACATTTCCATTCAATAAATGTGCAAATAAAATATGATGCACAAACTTATTGATGATTCCTACTTGTCTTTCTCATGATAAATAGTAGGCAAAATCTGATATGTAGCGGGGGAAAAAAAGAAGAAAGAGTTCATCAGACGCTGGATTCATACCGAGTTCATGCTCGAACGTGTCAAAACATGTTGACGTGCGTCTTACGAGTTGCGCCACTGAGACTGTTAAGAGTACTGCAACATTTTACACCTATAAATCACACTATTTCTTTTTTAATTCACTAAATGCGCGATGTTCAGACCTAACTGTGTTAACCGCATCAGCTAAACTCTCCCACTCTATTTTTTTCTTTTGTTGTTAATTCCGGAGAACAAACTTGCAAATAACACCGCTTTTCTCCGGTCTACCTCCGAAAGGAGCACCTCCAGTTCACATTCTGTTCAAAGTTTCTCTTTTTGCTTGATTTTGCCATTGCTTTTTCGTTGGGTTTTGCCATTAGCATAGTCATTAGCATATTCATACGGGGGAGGAGGCAGGGAGGAGTTTTGTGCTTGTGCATGTTGCGCTGTTTTACGTTCATTCGGATGTACAAAAGAATATGCGTGAGATTCGGTGTACGCAGTGTTTCATACATCTGAATTTTTTTCTGAATCTGAATTTTCAATGTTTTAGTATGATTTCCACGCTTCGTACATGAGGCCCCTGGAGATCGGCTGAACGGATTCCAAAATGGTTAAATTTAGGGTTTTACTCAGTAGGTGACCTGTAACATGAGCCTTTTTCCAAAAAAAGTGGAGTGTTCCTGTAATTACTTGTAGTGATCCTTGCTTCTAATTGTTAGTGTTGATGTTTTGTTTGGTTGATAACGTTTCTAACAAAGCCAAGTAAAAATAATTATCCTCATCATTTACATTAATTTTTTTTTTTCCACAGAAAAACCTTGTTACAAGGGTCCACCCCCACCTCCAAACCGTTTTAACATTATGCCAGGGTATCGGTGGGATGGGGTTGACAGGTAAGAGGTTTAGATGGTTTAATTGCAGCTGGTTTAGACATTCTTGTACATCATGTTAACTTCTTGTAACGTTCTTGTCGGCATGTTAACTTCAGAATGACTTTTTTCTATGATGCTTTAGGTCCAACGGTTTTGAGCAGAAGCGATACTCCAGAATGGCCGATAACAAAGCTGTCCAAGAGATGGCGTACAAGTGGAGTGTTGAAGACATGTAGATGTTCCTAAAGATGCAGATTTGGGTACAGAGAATGTAAATGCTGACATTCGTACGGTTCCCGCTGCACCTGCTCATGCTGCAAAGTGGAAGTTGTTTGTGTGCCATCAAAAACTGGGACGTTAGATCAAAAAGCAACATTTTGTTCAAGTTTATCAATCCTACAAGAAACATACCTTCCTTATTAAATGCTACTTTTTTAACAAATCTTTTTTTGTCTTAAATATCTTCTGTCATTTCAATTCAAAAGTTATTTAGGGTGTAGTTCAGTACTCTTGATCTATTATATACATGCACATCATGTTTTTTTTTCAGTTAGAACATGAATGATTCATAAAATGTCAGAGTCAAAACAGCAGTAGGAATTCCTCTAAAGATCTGCTGTAAGCTTACCAAGCTGTAATGAGCAACAATGCTTCAATTCTGTCCTATTTTGGTTTCACCTAGTGACTTTGTGTCAGGTTTTTGGTTTGCTTAAATGGCTTTGGTCAATGTAAGATTCATATTTGAGTCTTTTTTTTTTTTTTTTTTTTTTCCTGAACACACCAATGTTTAGATTTCAGTGTTCACTCTTACACAAATGAATTGTGCTAAAAGAGCAATGGCACATGCCAAGTGTAAACACTGTTAATTAACCAGTTTTGGCAAAATAGAATATTTGAAATCAATGGAAAACTTTTTTTTTTTTTTTTACAAAAGACATTTATTTACTGTCACTTAATTGAATACACCCTTGTTGAATAAAGTATTGAAGATATAAAATACAAGCAAGAATACTTTTTACATATATTGTAAAATAAAAAAAAAATTCTTGATCTCTAACGTACTAGAGGAAATATACTACAGTAATTTAAAAAGTAAATGTAGTGTTACCCATACTACAGTTAGGTGTATTATAGTATATGTATTATAGTATTTAAAACTTTTTGTTAATAAATGCTAAAACATTGCTTTAACTATAGTAAACTGATAAACTGCTGAATGCATAATAACGATTTTACTACAGCAAATTCCTGAATTGTCGTACTATATACTTTAAATTTAGAATATTTAGTTCAGTAGCTGCTAATTAGATTTTTGTTGTTTTTTTTTGTATCAGAGCAACTATATAATTACTCAAAACAGATTAATTCAAGTACTAGTATTTGCTATAAATTACTATAATGTTTGTACATGTGGGAATACATGAAAGCAAGTCTTTCTAATGTAAAAACATGATTTAAAGACATTTTAAAAAGATTATTTACATATAAATGCACTTGATACTCTCTGGTCTTCATCCGTCAGCGACAGCAGTGTCTTTGATTCGCGCAGGTTCTGGACGCGCGTGCACACACACGTCCCAGCCTGGAAAAGCCTCCTGCTGTACAGTCCTGTATTCAGCTCTACAAGAACGCAGGTTACGTTTTATTAACGATATTTTACTTTCATATTTCGAGTAAAACTTAAGTTCGAGTTCAGTGTACACTTGCCTCAGTGAAGTGTTAATTGCAAGGTTGTCAGGATGCGGTAAGACCTGATTTCTCCTCACATAGACTCTCTTGGGTGCAGGAAAGTCCTGCTGGTACAGAGAACATCTCTGCTCTTTGCCAGTCTTGTTTTCTCTGGCAGGAAACTTTCCATAGCACACTCCTGGAGCGCCATCTGGGCTGTAGGAAGGGTAATCCTCCCTGTTTGATGTAACGAAGCTCCTATCGCCTGTAATTATGTTGAAAGAGCTCACGTTTGCTTCATAGAAGTTCCAAAATCGATTAAAAAGGTTTACAGTATACGGTTTATAGCTTCTAATTAACACTTTGAAAAGTTTTACCAAATTACAAAGGTTTACACACATCTACAGAGTGTGTTGTCTAATTAGAACTTCATTCTAATTATGTAAAGTCGAGTTTTCAGCATAACAAATCCAGTCCTCATATCTCACAAAGCATTGTGATATGTTGTATTTTGTTTTTAGGTGATAGCTATTTCTTATTATTATGATCGGTGAAAACACACTTTGTACACACTTCTTAAATAACAAATTTTCTCAATTTACTTTTAATTATATGTTATTATTAATAATTCATACTCATCTATGTAAAGACACTGATCATGTTAATGATTTTTCACAATAGTTGTCAATGATTTAACAAGGTAGGAAACAGATAAATATCAACATGCAGTACTTCATTTGTCTGAAATAGTTTTTAAAGTTTGTTATATACCGTATAACTTAGTCATTTTCAGTTTTACACCAATGTTGGTGTGATTTAAAAAGAATAGCTACAAAATATTAGATGCAGCTTACTGATATGTGATGCTTTAGTGAGCTATTTTTAGAAAAGGCAGAGCAACTCATGATCCTTGAACCATGTTGGTGACCCCTGTGGTACAGTATACAGTGGTTGACACTTCAAAATGACCAACGTTTTTAGATGTAACAGCAGTTTGCAACAATGGTGGTAGAGGACAAAAAGGCACATGAATGCGAACGAACAGAAATATACAGCAGCTGTAAATACCCTTCTACTTGTTAATGATTAAATAATGAAACAAAGCATTATAATTCCTCCATAAATAAAAAGAAAACTTGTTAACGAACTCTATTATCGTTGTAAACGTATTAAGTGCAAGGAGGATTCATTTTGGAAATTAAAACTTAAGGAATAAAAGACAACTAAAATGAAACTACAAACATACATGGCCTACATAAATAACTAAAGCTGTGTTTAGCCTAAATAGAGAGAGACGTACTATGTTTGCTATTTGAAAGTGACTAAGACAGTCAATAAATAAATAATGAACTTTTTCATTTATGTTTTCTTTTTTGTTGTTGTTGTTGTTGTTGATTATATTTTACTTTGTTATTTATGCCTTAATTATTGTACATAAATGATAAATGTAATAGGCCTTAATAATTATTTATTTAAAGCTATAACCAGCGAAACACAGAGAAACAGTCCAGCACATGGTCTAAAGGGCTCTGAAGTTGAATGCTACTTCATCAAAAGCATAAAAATAAATTGACCTACCTCAAGCAGATCACCAAAATTATAATAAAAATGATTTTGCTGAAGGGCATAAATTAACTCTTGCAAGTTTATTTTTAATAATATAGTTTCAGTTCAAAACATCAATGTTCTTCTTTAAATTATTGTTTTGTTTTTGTTTTTAAAAACTGTGTCTTTATGCTATTTAAGGTACTAATGTAGCGTTTAAATTGTATACATGTAATTTTTAATCTTCACCTGGGGTACTGCAAGTGACAGCTCTGTAACATTTTTTTTCTGAGAGCTGTTCTAATTGGTACAAATGTATTTATTTTTCCAAATTTCAATGATTTCCATACCATGAAGAGTTAGGTTGCACTGTTGGATCTTTTTTGGTTCCATTTTTGGGCAGATTTTTGGTCCAAATTCAGCTTCTGTTGTGGTTACCATCTTTTCCCGCTTGTCAGGGTAGAGGAGCAAGCCTGAAGAGAACATTTGTCAGCTTTTGTTGTTTCTCATGTTTATTTGCCTCGCATCTGAACACTATATGCAATGTTCTGAAGTAACAAGTCACATATCTGTGGTAACTTTGAGGTAAAAAGCAAAATAAAGTCTCATTGTTGGTTACCTGCCAATGAAGGAAGTTCTCCCAGCATCGGGAAAGCTTGTGGGGGTTTCGATGTCATTTCACCATTTTTGTGGAGCAGTAAATCTACTCTATGTCGATGACTGAATGGGACTCGTATAGATGGTTTCTGCCGCTTTGCGAATGCCTTCACATGAGTGGTCATTTTTGAGTTACTGTTGAGACTAAAAATATTCAATCTATTTAAACATTGCAAAATATATAAAAAAAGTAAATATATTAAACGAAAAAAGTGCTTTATTTTCAAATCAAACTCTTTTAGTCTTGCTTTAATTGCACATATTTGTTTACTGTGACTGACTGATTTTAAGCCCAGGTTTTAAAACTGGTTTTATAGATTAACCGATTTCAAAATGATTAGATAATAGTGATTTGAGACTCACCTCAAGCATTTCACGTTTTTTCCCTGTAAATCTGCTTCCAGTTCAGGTAGCTGCTGATTTTTGTCACATTCTTGCAGCGCAGTGGCAGTTTGGAAAGCGCTGTTATACTCAGTTAGTGGTGGTTTCCATGGCTGCTCTATTCTTTATTGAAAGCCTGACGGGTGATGGAGTCGGCTTAAGAACAATGAGTGTTCTGTAATAAATACCTCAGAGCGATGTGACGCTGTGCTTATGCTCAGCATGAGATTCTTAGTTTAATCTTGCCTAAATAAACCCTGCTAATTTCTGTGTCTTTATATTTGTGCTTCAATCTGCTCAATTTCCCAATTGATGAAACAAATGTATAAATTATGTGTAACCATAGGAAGGTTCTGTTTGTTGGAATAATGTCTTTGAAAGTTTTAAAATACAGAAAACGAGGTAATCCCAAACTGTTAGTTAAAAGTTTTTTGTTTTTTTAACATCATACATATGTTTTATTTTTAAATAACCATGGACCTACATTCTGAAAACCTGGTCAGTGACACTGAAAAAAGTGTTGCATGCAAAACTGTTGCAAACAATTTATTTGTGTTGAATTTAAACAAACAAATTAAGTTTAATAACGTTCAACTTAATTAATTTAAATTCAGCGCAAATAAATTGTTTACAACAACTTAACGTAAAAATATGAGTAAATCCAAGGAATCATCTTTGAATGATTTTTTTCAGTGTATATTGGTCAGCAAGTGTGCTTTATTCATGATAAAGTACAAAATGTCTCTTAATGGACGTGTATTCGTTTATTTTTCTTCGGCTTAGTCCCTTTATTCATCAGGGGTCACCACAGCGGAATGAACCGCCAACTTATCCAGCATATGTTTACACAGCAGATACCCTTCCAGCTGCAATACTCGAAAATTCTTTGATACATTCTGCAAACTACTGCCAATTCAGTTTATTCAATTCACCTTTACCACATGTCTTTGGACTTGTGGGGGAAACCGGAGCACCCGGAAGAAACCAACGCAAACATGGGTAGAACATGCAAACTGCACATAGAAATGCCAACTGACACAACCGGGAATTGAACCAGTGACCTTCTTGCTGTTGTGTGATAGTGTTAACCACGGGGCCACTTTGTCGCCCTACTTAAAAAACACCCTTAGCAAACAAAACACAACAAAAAAATCAATACAACAAATAAATATTTTTATTGTGTGCCATTTCATAAAATGCCAAAAGGTACTTGATGTGTGCTATTTTAGGAATAGGTTACACTTTTTTTTTTTTTACCTTTTTGCAGTGATCCCTACCTTTTTTCCAGGAATCCCCTATTAATGTTCAATATCCTTTACAACCCCTCACTGTTTTAAAGCCTTAAAGCAGACAAAAATGTAAAAATCGGTATAAATTCAGGTTAATAAATGCAATAAGAAGGTCGCTGGTTTGAGCTTCAGCTGGGTCAGTTGGCATTTCTGTGTGGAGTTTGCATGTTCATGTTGCATGCTATAGGTAAATTGGGTGAGCTAAATTGCCCGTGATGGGTTGCAGCTGGAAGGGTGTACGATGCGAGAAACATATGCTGGATAAGTTGGTGGTTCCTTCCGCTGTAGCAACCCCTAATTAATAGGGAGTAAGCCGAGAAGAAAATGAATAAAAGAACAAAATCCAATAATTGTAAGAAGATTAGAATAATTATATAAACAATAATGACCAGATTTTTTGGTTAGTTGACTCAGAAATCACATTTTTTTACGATTTGATTTGTCTACAATATGTTTTGTAATAGTGCATTATGCATACTGTATATATATATATATATATATATATATATATATATATATATATATATATATATATATATATATATATATATATAAAGCCCAGCGTAACTTTTGCTTTTGTCCAATCCGGTCTATGGTCTGATCAAAAACTGCATTATGAATGAAAATATAAATCCACTTTCTGACAATAGGTAGTGCTTAAAGAAAGGCAGAAATGCTGGAGGAAATCTGTTAAATCCTCAAAGGTAATTTCCTCAGCTTTTTCAAATAGCTACATTTAAATAAAGATGATTAAATTGTAACTGTAAAGTAGGGATGCAGCGATACCAGTATCGAGTATCGGGTCGATACTTGGCTAAAATACTCGTACTTATATCGTACATGAAATGCCGATACCACACACCGATACCACCAAACAGTCATCACTAAGTGAATGTGATTTGTTTTCCTACCTGACTTCAATGTCGTAATGTATTAATTAATGCATTATATATTAATAGCTTAGTCCTTATAAACAATCCATTTAAAATACATTATTATCAAATCGACACTGAAGTATAAACCAAATATGCAATATGATCCTGTGAGAGTATTTGTAGCAGTATGTCAAGATAAAATCGCTTAAAACATTTTAATATTTTAGAGAAAGTAGTCAAAGTTTGCATAATTATTAACTATTGATATCCAACTGATAGCCAACCATTATGTAGCCTACTTTTTGATTACTTGATCCACAAATTAATGGCAGGACTCGCAAATATAACTGCACATAACAGTGTTTCATGCGTCCCTAATATGCAATGTCAAGAGAGTGACACTATAAGGTAATGTACACTGCACACACTTGATTATGTAATGAAGTCGTGGATGCGTGTCAGTGCGTCCTTTAAAAGTCCATGCTTAATTGGTAATCAATAAGGTCTATAGATATACAGGGTTATCAGCAATGTGTGTATATTTTTGGCTTGGCAGAGCCTTCTGTTAAAGATTTTGCTATACAGACAAAAAATTAAACCTCCTTTCAAATTAATTGTACTTTCATTAAAACCAGATCTAAGAAGTATAGAAATTGGTACTCAGTATCTGTGAGTACACATATTAAAATACTCATACTCGTATCGGTTTGTAAAAAAAGTGGTATCGTTTAGTTTACTGTAAAAAACTTGTTTACCCAATTAAGTGGTATCCAATTAAGCTTTACTTGTGTTACCCTCAAACTACAGAGACCCTAACCACTTGCTTACATGCATGTATGCTGTTTAAACTTGAATTTATAATAGATGTTAAAATATTTTTTTATTGTGATTTTTCTTTTATATTTGCAGTCTTAAGTCTTCCATGCATTCAAAAAAATTCACTTAATTACGTTGGCAATGAAATAAGTTGAAAAGAAACAACATTGTCTGATTGTGTGGTTTTAATCAAAAGCAAAATTGGATATTCTCAAGCAGTGATTGCTAATTACAATCTGAAAGTGGGTAAATACAACAGAGTGACAGTTCAAAATCATACTATCATTTAATTGGGAAGAGCATGAAGCCTGTAAAAGTGCAGTCAGTGTCTCTACTAAACACAGTACTTTCCCCAGTGCTCTGCACAGACACTTTATCCCCTTTGTTCAATTTTAAAACCACAGACGCTGCAGTCCCTGATATTAATTTAGGTGAATCGCAGAACTTGACCTTCTCTTCTGCCCCTACCTGAATCTTTAGACAGGCAGACTGTTGGAACGAAATTTGGTAGCTGATGTAATACATGCCAGTTATTGTCACATCAAAGTAACCCTCACCATCTAAAACACCATCTATCCCAGAGATCAATGGGACGTCAAAGACAACTAATTTGTCCTGAAGAATCTTCTCTAATTTCTGACTTTTTTTGTAAGAGAAAACAAAATACTGGTCTGGAGCAACTTTTCCTGATAAAACTCCCCTCTGTCCCTTTGGTCCCGGTGGCCCCGGTGGACCCTGTGGTCCCTCTGGTCCCTTCACACCTGGCCTGCCTGGGAGTCCAGGTTTTCCAGGGTCTCCTTTTGGCCCAGTCATCAGCACTGCATTCTCACCTGTAAACAGTATAAAGAGAGTTTGTAAGCAAACCTTTTATTTTATTTATCTGGAAGCTAGTCTGCTTTAACACATTACTAATAACATAGCATGTTGTTAGCTAGTCTTTCAAATAGTTTAACCAATTGGCTTACTTGTTTTAGTATGTTGTTGGTATCAGTTAACGGGTTTCTAGCATGCTTCATCATGAGGCCTGCATTTCGCCATGTTGCTAACATGAATTAGCATGTTGCTAGAATGTTTTCAGGACTTCCCTAGTGTTTGTCATAGTGCTAGCATGCCCCACAACAGGGTCAGTTTTGTTAGCTAGCATTTGTACCGTTAATGTGTTGGTGGCTTGTAGTGAGATGTAACACTATGCTTTATTGTTAAAACAACATGTGAATTAGCATGTCAATAGTATGTTTTAGCACACAACCTTTAACATGTTGCTAATATGTTTCCAGCAAGAATGACTATCATAAATAAAAAAAATTTAACATGTGGCTAACATGTTTAAGCATGATTTAAACTAGCATGTTGGTAACATGTTCTGTTTCAATTTTTTGCTGGCATAAATCATAATTATATAACATGATGGAGTAGCGAGATTCTTGCATTTATAGCACTTGGCTAACACAATCTGACATTTGCTAACATGTTGCAACACATCAATACCATTATTTAGCATATTGCTATTATTTTGAGGAATTGTAATTACAGTATATGCTCTAAATGACACCAGTAGTTTGCAAAACAAAGTAAAAAAAAAGGTTTTACTCATAATTATAAATCATAAATCTGTAAATCCAATTCAGTCAAAATTATTTTCTATTAATCTATTATTACTAATTGTAAAAAAAATACTATATTATTCTTCATTAATATTAATTTATTTAAAATGTACATTTCCTGCACCCAAAAAATTAATTTTGCTGCTTGTTCAATTACTTACTTAAAATTAATTAAAATAACACAATTCTAAAGGGTTTTTGGGGACAAATTGATTGTTTTATGTTAAATCCAGCCTGATCTCACGAGGAAATGCAAGTATTTTACATTTTGTCAGTTTAGTGGCTAATTCGTACGAATTCGTATGAGTTCAGTCGTACAAATATGTACGATTTTAAAAAGGAGGCATGACAGCCAACCCCACCCCTAACCCCAACCGTCATTGGATGATAGGCAAATCGTACTGAATTGTATGAATTAGATCATACAAATTCATACGAATTAGCCACTAAACCAAAAAGTTACGAATTGCCGTGAGATTGCGTTGGTTAAATCAAATTAAATCTGTAAAAATGTTTAAGTTAACAATCGATTTTGCGAAACAAATGCTGTAAAATATATGTATTACCTTATTCAAACTGAGATTTTTCCTGTGGTCTTATAACTTTATCTATAGTAAATTATGACGATAGTTAGGATGCCCATTTTTTACTTTTAGTAATATTGCAATATTAGGATTAAATGGTTTATTAAAGGTTAAAAAATTAAGATGTTTTTTTTGTAATTATACAATGATGGCCATGTTATTTTATATTTGAATGTTCAATTTCTGTACTTGAAATACGGTTAGATTCTCCAGAACAGCATAAAGCACTGTTTATTTATTTATTTTTGCTTGTAGTTTATTATAATTTATGCAGATGCACTGCAAAGAAAAAGACTTGAACATCCCAGTTAATTTTTGCAAATCGAGCTGTTCCAATCATTTGCTAAAATTATATTCATAGCACGATATTTTGCGGCAAAACAAAACATCGCAATGTCAGAATTTTCCAATATCGTGTAGCCCTAGTCTGAATACCTGGATCTCCTTTTTCTCCTTTAGCACCATCCTTCCCATCAGTACCAGGAACGCCAGGAATACCTGGTGTTCCAGGAAAACCCTTGTTACCAGCACATGTTTCTGACATAGACGAAGTCACCAGCAACAACATAATAGCAAGCTGTGGCACCACATGTGCAGACATGAGGGCAAACAGCTGAATAAAGATGAAGAAAACATCAATTAAATGCATGTAAACTGCTGATTAAAAGCTGTAATGTCCATTTCCTTAATTGAAACATGCATACACATACATACATACATACATACATACATACATACATACATACATACATACATACATACATACATACAAAGTGTGCCTTTAAATCAAACCAAGCCTGCAAACTAAAATTAAATTGCAAACTGCAGATTTACTCCATTAAGATTAATAATTAGAATACTTTTATCTTACCATCTTTTCAAGAAGGCTGTTGGAAAACAGATGGTGGCCTTAAAGTGTGGCGTTACATGAAATGTTTTTCTTGCGTCTGTATGATGAAGCTCAGTTTCAGAGGAGAAGAGCAGTGTTGCACAACAAAGGGAAGTAACAAACATGTATTCAGCAACATTTTGATTTTGATTAACCTTGGATTACAGCAGTTTTTTTTTTGACATTTTATTTATTGTTCAAGTTTGCAAGTTGCATATCCCTTTTCTGAGAAATTAAAAAAGGAAGGAAATAAAAGAAATAAAAAAGACAGATCAACACTCAGGGTTCACATTGTGCAACTGTGATTTTATACAGTGTATGAATATATCTTCAATAAAATACAACAGCTGAGTTTACTAAACTAACACACCTTTAAATAACATAATTATTATAATAAAAACAAATGGTGAGTAAAAATCATCCTATTGTTTACTTTATTTAAAACTTTTCATATTTTAGAAAACAAGCCTAAACCCACCTCATGCCAGCAAATACAAAATGCAAAAATAAACAGTGTAAGTAAATGTATACAATGCAATAATGCATAAATGCAACTGTACACCCCCACATGTACATAAACTATTGAACATAGCACTTGAATGTGGCATGTATGTAGGTAGGCATCTATGTGGCATCTATGTAGGGCTGGGCAATAAAACTAATGATAGTTATCACAATTCATTCATTCATTTTCCTTCAGCATAGTCCCTTTATTCAGTAGGGGTTGCCACAGCAGAATGAACCGGCAACTTATCCAGCAAACTGGAACAATGATAATAAAAATAGCTAACACCGCTGTTTGGATATATTTGGAATAAATGCTGCCTTTTACATAAACATAAAAAGCAATAATTGCATGATTATGCACAAAAACAATTGTGGGTTGTTTAAACCCAAATTTGAGTAAGATATGTACAAACACAGCTACTGGAGTTAATATTTCAATTAAATTCAATTTTTACCACAATGGTCGGGGGTTTGTACATATTTCACCTTTTTTGTTTTAGCAAACAGCTACAAAATGCATTCATGCTATATAATATTTAAAGCATATTTGCTAAAATTGGAAAATTAGTATTTGTTCATATATATATATAGCCGTGAGATATTAAAGTAATATCAGCACTCATACAGCCTCTTCACCCTTGTGTATTACTCCACCCACACGAGTGGCAAGCAGAGGACTACAGTAAATATTGCTGCTGTTTGACAACATAATGTACTTTTGAGGCTTTTTTAGTAGAGAATAGTTGTTTAGATTGCAACTATGAGATTATTTATAGGACAGTGCCTATTTTAAATATTCATAATTTTGTCCGTTTAGTGGAGTTCAGTCGTACGAAAATGTACGATTTTAAAAAGGAGGCGTGGCACCCCTAACCCCAACCCTCATTGGGTGATGAGCAAATCGTACAAATTTGTACAAATACAAAATTGTACAAATTAGATTGCATGAATTCATACGAATTAGCCTAAATCAAAAAGTTACGAATTGCGTGAGATTGTGTTGGTCATACTAGGCAGAGCAATAATGGTTGACGTTCTTCCACAAGATGGCAACAGAGACAGCGTAAGTCCTTTGGGGGAAAACACAACATTTTTTGCATATGTTTCAAACTACAGCCAAACAAATCATAACAGAACAGGTAAGTGACATTCTAAGTTGACATCTCTTTCTTGTATTTTGTAGAGCTGTATTTATACCACAGAAACTGGTAGTGTTTGCTTTGCTCTGGCTTTTTCGGGGTTAATTATTGTGATATTCCGTCATCACTTCCACAGCCATATCACCCTGCAGCCCAGGACCGGTAACTCACTGAAGCTAAGCAGGGCTGAGCCTGGTTAGTACCTGGATGGAAGGCCACTATAGGGAACACCAGGTTGCTGTTGGAAGTGGTGTTAGTGAGGCCAGCAGGGGGCGCTCAACCTGTGGTCTGCGTGAGTCCTAATGCCCCAGTAAAAGTGAAGGGGACACTACACTGTCAGTGGGTGCCGTTTTTTGGATGAGACGTTAAACCGAGGTCCTGACTCCCTGTGGTCATTAAAAATCCCATGGCACTTCTCGTGAAAGAGCAGGGGTGTAACCCCGGTGTCCTGGCTAAAGTCCCTTTATCGGCCCTTACGATCATGGCCTCAAAATCATCCCCTTCCACCGAATTGGCTCTATCACTGTCTCTCCACTCCACCAATAGCTGGTGTGTGGTGAGCGCACTGGCGCCGTTGTCCTGTGGCTGCCATTGCATCATCCAAGTGGATGCTGCACACTGGTGGTGGTGTGGAGAGACCCCTCACATGATTGTAAAGCCATACATTGTATGATTGTATGGCCATACACAATAAACGCGCTATATAAATACACATTACATTACATTACAGACATTATTCAGAAAAATCATTCAAATGGTAATTATAATGTGAATTAGTGGTGAATTTGTAACAGTTTCTGCTGTTCTGACATCAGCTGCATGTGAATGAAGGGCGAAAGAAAGTAGTTCCTCTTACAAAAGGGTTTTTAGACTCACACAATTGTGCCTTCATACTGTTGTATAAAAGCATTATCACACGAGTAGCAGTGCGATATGGCTGTATTCATAAAACTTGAGACAAACATTTTATTCAAGCAATATTTTATTTGATTTGGTTAGTAGCTTTTCAAAACACAACAGTTTAATAATCCTGTCTTATCACTCAGTATTGAAGTATATAGTTCAAAACAGTGCAACAATCAGTGTGCATGAATCAGGAAACCTGAGAAAACACTGTCTGCCCTGTCTGCTGTTGCATACATGCCATTAAGGGCATTTGTCATCAGCCAGACTTTCTCATTCTCCTTCAAATAGAGAGACAGTCCACCAGAGCTCACCTGCTGGCTGCCCCTCTGTGTGTGATCACAGAAACTCACTAGATTCTTATCATCATGCACTAGGATAACACACAGCTTTTTATCATGAGACGATGCATGAAACACAAAATAATAAGTGCCAGGAATTTTGCAAACAAATTTGCTCTCATCGGTACTGAAATGGCCTTGAGGATTGGTGATAACCTTGCTGAAGCGTATCACCTTATTGGCATCAGGAGGAATTCTTGTGTGACGGAACACACTGAATGCAGACTGCAGTTGAGATCCGGATACATCTACAAGGCCTGCTTCGCCGGGCTCCCCTGGAGGGCCTGGTGGTCCCATTATGCCAGGATCTCCATGGGGACCTCTCTTTCCAGGTGGTCCTTTCAGACCAAATGCCCCCCTTTCTCCTTTTTTAACGGTGTCACCGGGCTTGATAGGAATTCCTGTTGAGACACATTGATTGCTTTAAAACTGCGCTTCATTTTTTAAAATTAAATGAAGTGAAAGGTATAGTTGAGTTCAAAATACACATTTGAAGAAGAGATTACATCTTCTTGCAGGGATAATCACCCTATTCATACATAGAAAAAATATATTAATTACATTTAAATTGCTGCAAGAGTTTCCACAAACTCATGCTATTCAATATGCTAATGACTTTTGAAGGTATAATAAAGATTATAATCAGACAATCTTGTTTGGCCTGTGAATGTTATTTTCACTGTCAAAGAAGTCACAATTATAGCCTTGTTTTTTATAATCACTGACCACAAACACACACATACTGATGAATGATAGCCTGATAATGATAATGAAAAAAACAATTTTATTTGATATTTAAATTCTCAATAATGTGAAGCTGAAAACAAATAAACAAAAATAGTTATATCTATAAATTGTATTCTTGAAATATAAACAAATTTTGATTTCAATGACTGCAACTCTGCAAATAAAGTTAGGGCAGAGGCAAAATAAACTTGAAAAGGTCATAAATATCCCAATTAAATAATTTTGAAGCAGTCTGTAATAAGCTTGTGGATTGGTGATGATAAATAAAGACTTTATGTTTCATATGCTCAATAATGTGTGTCATTCATGTGAGAAGTAAAGAAAATATGGTTAATAATGCAAATCAAATTAGAGCAACTTGTTTCTGTAGATATCATAGTGATAAACAGGGGTGATTTAAGTGATTTTGGGGCCCTATGCAATTCCAGCCATGGGGTTCAAAAATTCTAAAATGCACCCTTTGTACTTTATTTATTATTATTATTATTATTATTATTATTATTATTATTATTATTATTATTATTATATACAGTTTTTTTTCTTGTATCATTCGATCTCCTTTTCTACATTTTCTTAATGCAAAAATATAAATTATCATAGCAACATAAAGCATCTTGTAAAACATTTAAAACTATTTGTTTTGTTAAAATAGATTCATCGCTAAAAATAATAAATTAACTATCTCATTTTAAAAACTAAATCTTTATTTGACTCCTAGACTGGTCCATGATTGAAGGTGGGGCACACATTTGCGCAGATGTAATAATTACGTTCAATTTAAATAAAAAATTTAAATTACACACACATCATACAAAATATGATAAAAACAATGTTATTAATATGTATGTGCTTCTATTTGGGGGCCCTCATGTTTTCTGGGGCCCTAAGCGGCTGCTTGCCTTGTTTATTGGTTAAATCCGCCCCTGGTGATAACGTCTTTTATTTAATTATTTTTACTACCAACAAATAAAACTGATATTGTTCACTGTGCCAAAACAACTCATCAGCAGAATCATTCTGTGCATTTGTTTATTTATTTGTATTATTTGTCTCTATGTATGTAATTGTATTTGATCGACCTATAAAAAAAAAAAAAAAAAACAGCAAAAAAAAAAAAAAAAGAGATGAGCTGTATACGACTCACTGAAAGATTCTGTTCATAAGAGTCATTTGCCCATAACACGCGAGACGCTGAATTCTAAACATTGAACAGCTTCATAACTAGAAAGTCTCGGTTTCCACAATTTAAAGCACTCGTAATCCCTTATTTTAAAAACCTTACCAAGATCTCCTTTCTCTCCCTTCATTCCTTGCCTTCCATCGCGTCCGGGAAATCCAGGAATACCGGGCAGACCAGGCATCGCTCCGGCAGGACAGGTGTCAGCAGAGGCCAGACAGAGGCAGAGAGAAGCCGACAAAAGGCTTACTAAAATGAGGTGACCGCCAAACATGTTTGCTTTCGAGCGACGGTAGAAGCAGAGCCACTCAATCCTTCAGACACCGAGCTCTGAAATCTTACACACAAGAACAAGTAAATCACAGTCACGCTTCCTCTTTTTCTTTGCGTGTGTTGCACTTATCTTATATAAAACTGCGTTCTAACAAAACTCTTCATTTCATATAAAGTTTACAACAGGTCCTGTTGACAACTACACCAGAAATTGGTCTATTTGTCAATGATGTGGACCTAAACAAAGATTATTTTCATTAATCAAATAATATTTCACATTAGCATATAAGTGCTGTTACATTTTTTTATCTGGTTATGTCTGTGTATCTGTTTTCATCTCATGTTAAGATAAGAGAATCAAAAGTCTGGGTTATTACATCAATTTCAGATTTAAAAAGTTTTTTGAAGTCAAAACGTTAATTTAACTATGTTCTTTACAAATGAATGAACGTATGCTTGATAATTGTTCTTGTTTTTAATATTTGTTTTATTGCATTTTATGTGAAAAATATTATCTAAATGCAGGGTGGGATTTAACCAACTAAGCAAGGTAAGCGGCCACTGAGGACCCCGGAAATCCGTGGGTCCCCAATAAATATCTAGAAGTATAAATTATACCTATAAATAAGTAACATAATTTTCTATAATATTTTGTATTGTGAGAGAATTTTTTACATAATTAAATATCATTTAATAAACACTAATATTATAATAATATTGTTATTTAATAATAATATTATAAAATAAAATATCCACCACCCCAATCATGGAGCCGTCCAGCAGTCAAATTCATAAATAAATATACATATTTACTTTTTTTATTGTAAATTAATTTTTAAGTAAACTATAATCATTCAAAATGTAAAGACTGCATTAAGATAAGAACATAAAAAAGAAGATTTAGTAATATAAAAAAAAAAACACCAAAATAAATAATAATTAAATAAAAGTAGAAAGGGTGCATCAGGACTGGGGCCCCATGGCTGGAGTTGCCTAGGGCCCCAAATTTGCTAAATCCGCCCCTGTCTATATGATAACGTTTTTCAGATTTGAAAGAAATGTCATTGGTAGTTTCAAGAATAAAAGAAAAATTATGCTTTACTCAAACATTTAACTATAAAAATCAAGCTAAGAAAATAGATAGAAAATAGATTTTTTAAAATTCTTTTCCATTCCATTCCATGTTTTTGATTTACCAAAAGCTGCATAAATTATATTAAAGCGGTGGCTCTGAGAATTACTACATTTTGTACAGGAATAATTGCGCAATCTGTGCATTAGAATAAGATTTTTATTTACTTTGGCGAATGGTAATAGCGAATGAAGATAAGAATTTGTTCAAAGGTTTACGAGGACTGAAAGGCTACAGTGCTTTACATTTTCTTTGTGAATTTCTGACTTAAAGGTGGATTGGTTCATTTGTTGATCAGTATGTCATGTAGCGTACTGTCAGTATTTAGGTTATCATTGTTTAACAAGGTAATGTAGTGATATAAATGAGGTGATTCAGGTATGGATATTATATATTTTCCTCTACTTGCCATCTAATTACAAAATATAATTGGAGCTATTTTGACAAAATTCTGACAGAATTCATTTTGCTTGGATTACATTTTTTAGACATATATTTAACATCAGACAACAACAAACTGAATCTTTGTGTACTGGCACGTTCATATGCTTTTATTTGGGATTTGAAATTGAAGACATTCAACAAAAACAACAATACTGTTTTAATACACAATGATACACAAATACAAGAATTTTTAATACAGCATACAGCAGAGCAATTAGAATTTCATTGATTATTTAAGTTCCAAGTATCTCTGCTACAGTAAAATCGAAAGTAAAATATATCTCTGCAACCATCAGCAGGGTCCAGTCACCAATATTCGGCTATATTCTTCCTATTAATTGCTTTACTCTGCATTGCGATAGATTAAAAACCCATTGAACACTGCATACAAGCGTTTGGGCATTTGTCCAACACCACCATCCCCAGCGAAAGGCTCAATCCAGACTTTATCACCTTTTAAAAGTGTAAGCACTGCTCCACCGGACACAACAAGAGAGACAGATTTTGAGTTAAAGTCACAGAAACTCAGGCTTACTGGAGGCGCACTTGTGCTCTTAAGTCTGAGACATAATCGACCCTCAGATGACGCATGAAACACAAAATAATACACCCCAGGAACCTTGCAAGTAAAATAACCAGTTTTAATTTGGAAATCATCATTGGCATCGCTAAGCTTATCATTAAAGGTGACAGGTTGTTTATATTGAGCCTGGCTTGTTTCATTTCGCAGTACAGAGAATGCAGGTTTCTCACTGGCTTTGGCTCCATCAGCACCAACACTGGATCCTCTTGGACCCGCAGGACCAAGCGGCCCCCGTGGGCCTATAGCTCCCATTAAACCCTCTAGACCAGGTTCTCCTGGAGGGCCGCGGACCCCCATGTCTCCTTTCAGCTCCTCGAGGGCAATGCTGCTCAGCTTAACCTGCAAAGCTGAGAGAAAGCACTTCGGTCAAAAATATGGGATTGGTACACTTTAAAACCCAACAGTCAATTTTATCAAATGAAATGAGTGTAGTCAACTCAAAATTGACTGAAAGTTAATTCTACTCATTTGAAAAGAGTTTTGAACTCAGTGTTGAGGGTAATGCGTTTACAGTACAGATAAAGTTCACAGTACTCATTATGATTAGTTTTTGAACTTAAATAATTTGTTGCAATCAGTTTCCTCAAATAGTTTGAGTTACCCTCTCTTAACCTTTTGGGTTTTACAGTGTAAGTTTTTTAAATGTTTTCAAAAGAAGTCTACTCTTACCAAGGCTTTTCTTTATTTGATCTAAAATACAGTAACAAAAAATTATATTAGATTTTAAAGTAAGGGCTTCTTTTTGTACTTAGTTTAAAATTCAAGGTATTTCTGTGATTTATTTTCTGAATATTTTTCAGCATCTTTACTCCAGTCTTCAGTGTCATCATTTGGAAATCATTTTATTATGCTGATTTGTTGGTGGCAAAATGACAGCACTTACATGAAGCTAAATCTTTTTTTTACATCTGTCTTAAAATTGATGAATAAATAGACTTTTAACTTTTGAGGGTACTGAATCACAGTTTGTGCAAAAATGTGACAGTTCAACAGTGTATTACACTGATAATAATAATAATAATAATAATAATAATAATATTCATTCATTCATTAATTTTCTTATCGGCTTAGTCCCTTTATTAATCCGGGGTCACCACAGCGGAATGAACCGCCAACTTATCCAGCAAGTTTTTATGCAGCGGATGCCCTTCCAGCTGCAACCCATCTCTGAAAAACATCCACACACACATTCACACACACACTCATACACTACGGACAATTTAGCATACCCAATTCACCTGTATCGCATGTCTTTGGACTGTGGGGGAAACCCACGCGAAGGCAGGGAGAACATGCAAACTCCACACAGAAACGCCAACTGAGCCGAGGTTCGAACCTGCGACCCAGCGACCTTCTTGCTGTGAGGTGACAGCACTACCTACTGTGCCACTGCCTCGCCTTATAATAAAATAAATAAATAAATAAATAAATAAATAAATAAATAAATAAATAATTCTTACTCCCTGGGCCATTTATATCAAAGATGATTTTTAGCCACGCCATATTGGTGTTTCGAAACATCTAGTTTTTATGAGGTGGGTTGATGCTCAATGCTCAATCCCCAACCTGGAGGACCAGGACATACATTATGGAAAATTTAACTTACCCAATTCACCCACAGCGCATGTCTTTGGACTGTGGGAGAAACCAGAACACTTGAAGGAAACGCCAACACAGGGAGAACATGCAAACTCCACACAGAAATACCAACTGACCCAGCCAGGGCTCGAATCAGTGGCCTTCTTGCTGTGAGGCACCCCGGTGTTGCCAAATAATAATAATAATGATAACAATAACAAATGTTTCTTGAGCAGTAGATCATATAATAATTTCAGAAAGATCATTTAATGCTGAAGACTTGAGTAATGATGCTAAAAACTCAGCTTTAAATCATGGGAAATTTGGAATATGTTACATTTTAAATTTCATTGAAAAAGAAAACATTTTACATTGTAACACTATTTCAGTTTTTCTGAAAATGTATGAATAAAGACTTTTTTAAAAACATTAAAGAATCTTACTGATGCTAAACTTTTGACAGGCAGTGTATATTTTTCCTTTGATATATTCCTTTGAGATTACGTTCCTACCTGGCTCTCCTTTCTCTCCTTTTGGTCCTGGCAGGCCATCTCTCCCATTTGGTCCATCCGCGCCATTTCTTCCATGCTTCACACATTCATCCTGACAGAAGGAAAAGGGAAGCAGAGCACCGGCCCAAAGAAAAGCAAAGAAAGCTGATGGCTGCATCCTAAAACATCTAAGACGATTCAGAAAGAATAGATCACATTTTAGGTATGTAAACAAACAAACAAACATAATGGACTATTAAAACACAACTAAAAGGTCATGTAAAATTGTATAATTATGATTCAAAAACCATTTAATCATTAACAGAAGTGTCTTACCAGTGTCTCACTGTCAATTTTGTGCTTCTTTTTCTGACTCTGGGCAGTAAAATTGAGGAAAGAAATAACGCTGCTGAGAAAAAAAACTGCAATTGTTTCATTTCTGCAAAATGTGAACTAAATTGAACGCATTCTGAACTTGTCAACGCATGCATTTTCTTCTTCCTCATTCTTCATCAACATTTTGATGGATAATAGAAAGTCAAGCGTTTATTTTCATGATAAAAGGTCAAATTTGTCTTTAATTAATAAAGCTAAAAGTTTAAAAATATGAAAATCTGCATGCAGCTTCAAAACAACCTCCATGATTTAGTCTTTATTATTATATTAAATATTGTCTCACAAAATAGAAAGCGAAATCAAATAAATGTTTAATATCCATGGAACCTTTTTATTCCGCAAGAGATATTTATGTTTTTCATTATAATAAAAAATATTTCTTTTTAGAATCGTTTTTTTATGCAGAATCATGCAAGCTGCAAAGCTGTAATGAGAAAGTCAAGCAATTATTGTCATAAATCAGCTTAATTTCTATTTCTCAAAAATCAGTGTTTTGAAAAAAATGTTTAAATCCATGTGCAGTTGCGAAACAACCTTTGTGCAACATACACAATAGATAGAATAGAATAGAATAGAATCATTAAACAGAATAAAATAAATATAAAATCTGTCCTAAAATTGGAACTCAATGTGTTTGTGTGTGTGTGTGTGTGTGTGTGTGTATGTGTGTGCGTGTGTGTGTGTGTGTGTGTGCATGTGTGGGTGTGTGGGTGTGCGCGCAGTGGTGTAAAGTAACTAATTACAAATACTCAAGTTACTGTAATTGTGTATTTTTTCTCAGGAATGGTAATTTACTGAGTAGTTTTAAAAATGCGTACTTTTACTCTCACTTGAGTAAATTTTTTTGTGCTGTATCTGTACTTTTACTCCACTATTTTCCTTCAACCTGCAGTCACTACTTTATTTTTTCTTGTCTATGGGGATTAGAAAGTTCAGTCCTGTGATTCCTGACCAATCAGATCGCACATAGAAGGTAAATCGCAGCATAATGACCTACCTCAAGACATGGGCACTTTATAAATGCAGCAAACTGTTTGGAAGCATTAAAAGTGTCCAAGAAGATGTTCAAAATCTTTATAAGCATTGACCCAGAGACTGTTTAGATGCATGTCACTGATGAGAAGATGACAGATGTTTGCTGTATGATAACAGCCAGCAAGCACAAGACGTCAACATGACGTCAAATTGACATTGTACCCTAATGTCATGGGGACATTGCATTTTGTTAGAATATGAAAATCATGTTGACGTCAGAACTTAACGTCAGGCCAATGTCCAACCTAAAACCAACCAAATATCAATGTCTAATGATGTCACAGCTTGACGTTGTGTTGAAGTTACCACTATGTCTATCCCATGTTGGATTTGGTTGCCATACTTGACAAATAAATGTCAGTATTTGACATAAATATGACGTTGGTTTAAGATGTTGGCTCAACGTTGGATTTTGGTCACTTGACATCACAACCTAAATCTAACTTAATAATAACATCTTATGTTGTGTACCTGCTGGGCAATAACTAAATGCACTACAGAATGCTACGTTTACACACATCCACAAATTACATGTAAATGCATCAGTTTTTCACAGCGTAATACTCACTACTCACTACTCTTGAGTACTTTTGAAAGGGCTACTTTTTACTCGTACTTTGAGTAATTTTTACAACAGATACTTTTACTGTACTTCACTACATTTTTAGGCAAGTAATGGTACTTTTACCTGAGTATGATTTTTCAGTACTCTTTCCATCACTTTGTGTGTGTGTGTGTGTGTGTGTGAGACAGAGAGTGAAAGAACAGGGTATAAACCCAACACAAGAACACAATCCTGAAAGCTTAAACTGTATTTTTTTATTGTATTTATTCTAAAATAGCACAGAATATCTTTAAAGAAGGTAAATATAAATAAATTTCTGTCACAATATAGGATCAACTGATAATTGTAAAAATACAAATGCTACTTATTTTGGATGAACATGGAGACTAGACTTTGGTTCCTGTTTGCTCTCTTCTCAAGGCACTCTTGAACACCAGTTAAAGGCACAGGTTCTGTCTTGCTCTCCTTCTGGTAGTATGGACAAACCTTTAGATGCTCAGAAATCGGAGCCACTTTGTCAAATCTCCAGCTCTCCACAGTGGAGAACAGGTTACTGAACTGCCAAACCTGGGGGAGTGTAGTGTAATGTTAAAGTTAATTCTTCTGTACCTACCCACCTAATGTAATATTTTCCATTACATTTTAAAAAGAAATGTATAATTTAATTAAAACAACATGTTCTTAGATATATTTCTAATACCTTTCACAATAAACAAAAATATGTGTATAGTTTGTAGAAAACATATTTATGTAAATGTATATTTTAAATCAGTGTTTCTCAAACTTTTTTCACCAAGTACCACCTCAGGTACCACCATAATGACTGGTATTGAAATCATAGTAGGCCTAATTAAGTGGCTACAGCTCTGCACAGTTCACAAACGTGGCAGATTAATTCCTATTAACGCGACTACACAACAATGATAAGTGATTCAAAAATATATGTTTCGGCAGGCCAAATCTTGTTATATTTTTGATGTCAGTTGTGGCCGGAGGGAGGAGGAGGGCGGGCCGTGAATGGTCTATGGGCCAGCAGTTTGAGACCCCTGTTCTAATGGAAGCCATGATCAAACCATGTTCCGTTTTATTGTGATTTGTCAAACACATTAAAGAGCACCAATTACTGATTTAATTTCATACTACATCTGAAGCTAAGACTTTGTTTTAAGACTTTTGACTTTTGTTTTTGTCTTGTTCAGTTTATTTTTACGATTATGTAATTTTCCCCTTATGACTTTACAGTTCAAAATTATATTCATTTAAAAAAATCTATTCAGTATTGTATGAACTCACCCTCTTTTTGGCTCTCCAGCACCATCCACCATGAGAGTAGACCTTCTTCTCCCACTTGAGTGAGACCATCCCTCTGTCATGAAGAAGACTGCTACAAACCTCCCTCATGAGACGAGACACCAGAGCCAGCTGGGACAGGGTGAAGCTGTCCAGAAACCCAGCCATGTGAACCAGAACCTCAAAAGGTAACCTGCTCAGAGCATCTGTATTGCGTGCTCGCTTCCTTTCCACAGTCACAGTTTGTACACCTTCATACAGAGTGTCTGAAACCTCTGGTCGGAGACAGAATGTGCTGAGCTCTTTGTCGTAGAAAACCTTCGCTTTATAAGAGCTGGGCTGAAACCGCCTCTGAATGAAAGTGCAGCCAAGGTAAGAAAGAGGACATCGCTGTTCAAACCATCCACTGATGCAGCTCTGGATGTCAGCATGGGTGTTTTTGTAGTGAGAAGGAAACTCGTCCCGTCTGAAGATGTGGTTGCACAGGTATGTGAACGCAGAGCTGGATTTGTTGTGTCTTCTGGTGGCACTTTCCGCCTGAATGTGGACGTGAAGTTTTAACGGCCGGTCAGCAGTGATATCAGCCAGCGACGCCTCTGCTTTGAAGGGTGCCGTGTAGAAATCATACGTCTGAGTTCCTGTGTCCATTATCAGGGCGTCTGTGGATCCTGATTTGGCTATAAGGTGACCCCGTAATTCCTTCTCCAGAGAGCACAAGAGAGTCGCTTGAACTTCGTCCCATTTTGGCATGTCATCCATTTCGACTCCCAGATCGGATGTGTCCAGGCTTACGCTCACCTTCTTGTTATGCGAGGGATTTCGAATGCGACTTTGTCTGGCTTTAAAGCTGGTGGGGACTTTGAAAGTGCGGACCGTTTTAATCTTCATTGGCACCAAATGTTTATAAATGAACTTCTTGGGTCTCGTGTCACACGCAAACAGGGACGAAGCGATTAGGAATTTCTCATCATCCGTTTCATAAGCGTTGTATTGAGGAACATCGGTAGGATTGATATTTTGTTCTGGCTCTTCCTGTAAGACTTCCAACCCTCTCGGATTGACTTGAGGCTTTATCTCACCACCTTTAGACGTTTCGGGAGTCTGCCCCAAAGATTTAATTGTATGCTTGCAACCACTCAATTCCATGCTGAACATCTTTTCCCAGATATTATAACTTTCGAGATCCACCACATTGGGATTCCTGGCCAACTCTTCCCGTTCCTCCTGAGTCAGTCCTCCTTCCTCCATTTCCAAGCTTGAAGATGCACATGCTTCATCGACTCCATTCTGTAATGGTATCCCTCCTACAGCCCCCTCCAGCTCGGCAACCAAAGGCTCCTCAGCCACCTTTTCGATAAGTTCAGGAAAGAGAGTCTTCATTTTGAGAGAATGAAAGAGGTGATGCTGGTCCCTCAAAGCCATGGAGAGATCCAGAGGTTCCTGAGTGTAGTTCTCCTTTAAAATGTTCTCGTAGAGCTCAGGAGTCTCAGACTCTTCAACTGGCCATCTGTTCCACTCCATGGAGCAGGAGACGATGCTGGCGGGACACACCACCAAATGCTTGGCCAGGTTGGAGCGGCACATGGTGAACGGGCAGCCGTATTCAACATTGAAACAGGGCACCCTTTCATTGGGGCACAAAAACATGTGTTCTTCTTCCTTGCATAGGTGAAATACAGCGCCACATAGTAAACGGCAGCTAATAATCGCACAGGACACTGAGATCTCAATCGGTGTCTTGCAGCGCCGGCTGTGGCAGCTTTCGCAGTGTCGGTGAAGCTTTGACGTTTGGGTTTTTTGTCTGCCCTGTGAAGAAATACAAGATAGCATTCTCAGTCAATCCTTCTTTATTCATTTCCTGAAGGCAATTTGGTTGTAGCATGCAATAAAACACACATAAAATGTATTGTACAATACAAATCTACATTAAATTTAAAAACTTTACTGCTGTGTTTTATACTAGGGCGGTGTAACCCGCCAGTCCTACACTGATGTTTACAGCACTTCACTCTCTGACCTCTGTTACATTCACCCCCTTAAACCTCACTCCCATCCGGTTCACGGCACCAATCTAACCAGCTGGTCCTACACCACTCAGCTGCACTGATCTGGGATCAAACTGGCAATATTTTGTATAGGAGTTGGTTGCTCTAACAAGGAGGCTAAAGACCATGGCCTCTAGCATCTGTCATTAAAGGACCTTTCGGGTTCAAAGGAGGAAGGTTTACCTGCACAGCACTTCACTAGCTAGCCTCTGTTACAGCTACACAATATATGATTTCAATATCACCATCACAATGTGTCACAATAGTCACATCACAAGATGAGCAATTTTGAGTGACAGTTTGAATGACGCAATTGTAAAGTTCAAGCATAATAGAGTGAAAGTTTATAAATTATAGCATTTATAGCATTCAGAAATTATAGCATTCACATTTTTAACAAAGACTATTTCTGTTAAATTATTTTTTGGTGAAGAGTATACAGTGTTATTTCATTATTACATTTATGTTCTTGAATACTGTTTTTTTTGTCCCCCCCAAAAAACATAAAGCACTGTTTATATTATTTGTATCTTTACTCTATTGTGTTTATCCATGCTTGTAAATTGTTATATTTTATGTTGATGCACTACCCTACACAATCATTTCAATTAGTCTAAAACTATGACTCTAAAACTACCCCCCAGTGAAATTGTATTCGCATTGCAATATATACACAGAAACACAAACTATTGCAATGTCAGTTTTACATGCAGCCCTACTTTAGGACTTAAGAACATGATGCAGTTGCAACAATATGCATGTTCATTATTTCCATATTTCACAATGTGGTAAAAATTCGAATGCTTTTTTAAAAATATAGTCAATCCCCCAATCTAATGCTAAAACCTTAAATGTTTCTTGGAGAAATCTCTTGAGATCAATCAAATCTAGCATTTGGCAGTTGACCAAACAGATTAAAAGGTTGACCAAACAATAACTGACCTACCATGTTTTTACTGCGAGCTCCTCAGTGGTGTTCTGCTTGGTCACTGAAGTTTGAGGGGGCAAATATCTGTGCCTGGCTGTTAGTTAAAAATAGACACTTACATGGAGTGTTACTAGGCCTTTGGCATACAAGAGTCAAGTTACATGTTCTGTAAACTTAGTATTCATGGTATACAATCTCAGCTTCAGTTCACAGCACACAGAATGCATTTTGCTGCTCTGCATTTCAATTGTTTTTGTAAACGTGCTAAGCTGAAATCTTATCCATCTCGCACATGAATGACACATTTTTTTAAAGATGGTGTGTCAATTCAATGACCTTTCTTTAGCTCGTCTTTCCCAAAGTTCTGCGCCTGGCTGTTTGAATACAGGAATGAAGTCAGGCACAGAAGGTTTTTATTATATTAACATTTTATTATATTAACTAAGGCAAAGTTTGTAAAGTAATGTAATTTATTACATTAACATTTGTATTTATACCATGTTTTTTTAAAATCATACAGTTGTTACATTATAGATTTTTCTCTGTATGGTTAGCGTTCACATCCAATTATGTAAATTTATATGTAGGTTTTACAAAGAAGACATATGACAGCATTCAAACAAGAGGATTAAGACCAGAAAGCCTGGCATTCAAAATAACATTTTTATCTACAATTGAAATTATTGATTGGCTCAACTTCAGTATTAACCGAAGTGTAATTAACCAAAAAAAGATGTAATTGTCTGTCTAGACCACTAATGAAACAAGCACAAACATATCTGTGACAGTAAACATGTGCAAGCACAATGGATTCTTTTAATCATCTTCAATAATACTGGATAACATGTTCATGATTCATGCAGCTTGAGTTTTGCTATCATTAACACGAAAACATAACCAATGCTCAAAGTCCAATATTGATTATATTATTTTCAAACAAAATAATAGTAAAGTAACTTTCTCCGGTGGACATTAGAACCACATTAAATACATCAGTCAATAAATATATAAAATTCAGTCGCTGCTATCATTTGTGTCCCATAAACAAAGAAACCAAATTGTTTCCCCCCTTTCCTTTGATATCAGACATATTGGTCAGGGTAAAAGGCTCAGTTTTCAGTTCAGTTTGGTAGAACGGACAGTTTTGAAGATGCTCAGCCATTGATGGTGTGTCGCCAATGCACCAGTTCTCCACTTTACTAAAAAGAGTACTGAACTCCCAGACCTAGGAAAGCGATACAGAGAAATATGAGAGAGTATAAAGTTAAAGTCAAACTTTTCCTTGAAAACTGATACACAATTTGTTCTAAAGCAATAACTTGCTTATTGCAGTTTACTTAGCGACCACTAGTGTTGCTGATATCAAGACATTTGCTATACTACAAATAGACCCTTTAAAGGGTTGGAAACGAAATAGAAAATTTGGTTAATTATTACTCACTATCATGTTGTTCCAATCTCCAGAGACTTTCATCAGAACACAAATTAAGACATTTCAAGTCTATTCCTGCAGTTTAGTTCCAGCCCTATTTCAACACACCTTTGTGTAGGTATCAAACACGCCTAAAGCACTCAATTAGTTTGATCAGGTGTGTTTAATTAGGGTTGGAACTAAATTGTGCAGAGCTCCGGCCCTCCAGGAACTGGCTTTGAAATGTGATATACAGTAATGCTCCTGAGAAAAAGAACCAAAAACATTGGCTAAACATTCCCTCTGACTTCAACTGTAATCACATGAAGTTCCAAGAACAATTTTGTGTGTGAAAAAAACTGAAATGTCTTCCACATCATATCAGGGTGTGCTTTTACCACAGCAATACAATGCTTTTATGTTGCACTGTTGACCTTAATGGTAACAAATGTGCACCCTGACTATTTGACGAGGAAGAGAAGTTAAAGGCAGTCAAAGTCGTTTTAGGTTTTGGTGCACAAAATTGTTCTTGGAGCTCCACTGAAGTCCACATCTTGACACATTTTGTCAATGTTTTTTGTTCCTTTTCTACACTTTGAATGTCTTTGGACTGTTGCTGTCTATGGAGGATGAGAGAGTGCTCAGATTTTATCTAAAATATCCTAATTTGAGTTTCGAAGACAAAGTTCTTAAGAGTTTCTAACGACATGATGGTGAGTAAGTAACAACAGTCTTTTAATTACTAGGTAAACTAACCCTTTAAACAAATACTGAAAATCCTTACTATGGTAGGTTTCCATCGGGCTCCTCCGTGAGAGTATGACTTCTTACGCCACTTAAAAGCCACCATTCCTCTCTCCTGCAGAAGCGTGGCACATATATCCCTGAACAATCGTGAGACCAGAGCTAGCTGGGACAAGGTGTAACTGTCCAGGTAAGAAGCGATGTGGTGAAGGACCTCAAAGGGAAGGTTACTGAGAGAGTCTTCATATTTGACATGTGCCTTTTCTGAAAGGTTTGGCGAATTGTTCTGGAGACACGCAGGAACCTCAGGTGTGAGAGTGAAGATACTGAGGTCCCGGTTATAGAAGACTTTGGCCCTTTGTGTGGCAGGTTGTAATCTTTTTTGGCTGAAGGTGCAACCAAGGTAAGCCAGTGGGCATCTCTGCTCAAACCAACCACCCATACAAGACTGAATATCCAAGTGCACGTTCTTAAAGTGTGAGGCAAACTCATCCCGCCGGAAGAAATGGCCACACATGAATGAGAAAGCTGAGGTGAATTTGTTGTGCCTGAGGGTAGCCGTTTCTGTATCAAGTTCAAGGTGAAGTTTCAAATCCATGTCTGCTGTTACTTCAGTCAGAGATGCGTTGTATTTAAAGGGAGCTGTTGCAAAATTATATGTCTGCGTTGCGATATCAACATAAAGCCCATCTGTTGGCACCATTTCACTTATTTTATGACCCCTAATCTCAGACTCTGCGTAACAGAGTAGGGTTGCAAACATCTCATCCATCTCCCAGCCATCTTTATTCTCAGATAAAGTTGACTCATCCGATGTGCCAACACACTTGTGCTCGGTCATTACTCTCGCTTTGAATTCTCTAAGTTGAATGCGTTTTTGTTTGTAACTAGTGGGAACCTTGAAGGAGCGTAGAGTCTGGACTGGTATTGGCTCCAAGCTCCCATAAACAAAATCTCTCTCCCTAGGTGTGCAAGCATCCATCTGACCAAAGGAGATCAGCATGCGCCCATGATGCACTATGTACATGTTGAATTCTCTTGGTTTTACCTCCTGCCCGAGTCTCTCCAGGACACCATCCTGCCAAGGTGCCAGTCCACATTTGGAGACATCCACACTGGGTGCATTGGTTTCCTCATTCTTAGGCTCTATAAAAGCGTCTTGTGGTTTTGTGACAGAAAGAGCCTTTTGTCCTTTCTTTTCTTCTGTTGTTGATGCCTCTGCCTGCTTGCAACCCCCCTTTTCCATGGAGAACATCTTCTCAAATAGATTGTACTTCTCCTTGTCAATGTCACCATTGAGGACCATGTTTTCATTCATAGCTTTCTCACAAGATTTAGATGATCCATTTAATAAAACTGAACCTTCATGTTCATTGATGGAAATTCCATTAGGTACAGCCTCTCTTCCTGCTGCTGCCTCTTTATCCTCCTCCTCCTCCACTGGAGTTGGTTCCTCTTCTCGTTCCTCCATCAACTCTGGAAAGCAGTTCCTCATTTTCAACCTCGCACATAGATGTTTCTGGTCTCTTAGTGCCATGGAAAGGTCTAGTGACTCCTGCTCATGGAGCTCTTTCAGAAGGTTTGGGTACAAAGGAGCATCTGGGTTCTGGACGGGCCAGCGGTTCCATTCCATCGAGCAGCAGACGATGCTCGCAGGGCAAACCTCAAGATGTTTGGCCAGACGAGAGCGACACATGGTGAAAGGGCAGCCATAGTGAGCATTAATGCAGGGCACCTTCTCATTGGGACACAGCAGAGAGTGTTCATCCTCTTTACATAAGTGAAAGGAGGCTCCACAGAGCAAGCGGCAGTTGATGACCATGCAGGACACAGAGACCTCTATGGAGGCTTTACAGCGGCGATTATAACAGGTCTCGCAATGCCTGTGCAGCCTTGGACCTGATTTTCTATAGCGACTCTGTAGGGGGAAACACAACAAGGAGACTTGCACTGTTTCTAAACTAGAAAATCATGAATCAGGAAGCAAATAATTAATTCTTTATTGATGTATTTTCTATTGAAATAAGATGGATGGAAACTTCTCCCATTTTTTTTTATATTGACAGTATTTATTAGCTCTGTGGTGAACAACTGTTCAAGAAATCAATTCTGCATTTATTCAGAAATTTCAGAAAATAATAATTCTTAAATCGATTCTGTGCTTAGCTTTTAACAAGCAATGGCACTCTATGCTAGTGACGCTCAATCCTCAAATCCTTGTGAGAAAGAGAACTTGTGTGTTCAGCTGAGTCATGTAAGGTGGCTTGTATGTCACAAAATTAATGTGAACACAACTCAGTATGAACATAATGAAGTTTGCAATGCATTAAAACATTGTTTTCCAGCTGTAGCTGTGCTTCATTCTCAAGATGTATAGTTTGTCTAAAGTGACATATACAAAAAATATAGTATACTATGAGCAGGGATACAATCAGCCAGCGCAGTCGTCCATCTATAGTAAAAAAACATTTTGTGTCTGCCGGTTTGTTTACCTGTGGGAGTTCCATTGGCATTTTCCCGCACGTTAATTCTGACCAATCAAAAAGCAGTTTAGGAAATACGTTCAATAACATCTGGCCACTAAGTGATGTGGATTTTGGTTGATTTTGCATCTTGGTTCTTTTTAACTGGTTCGGACCAAAGCAATCGGTGTGGAGTGAACAGGACCCAACAAGGCAAAAAAATGCTACAATGTATAGTTTGTTGCCCTTGGTTCAGACCAAATAAACCGAACCACAGTCTGAAAGCACCCTTTATTTGAATTGAATTGAGAGAAGAGTGGTGCATTTTGAAAATCTCAGGGTTCTTTTACACCTAGACTCTTGTTTCGGAACCTGGCGTGTTTCCCCAGTTAGTGCGGTTTGGTTGGCTTATGTGAATTCTGCAATCGTGCTCTGATCTGCACCAAAACAGTTGGTCCGTGATCACCTGAATGAGGTAGTCTCGGCTCGATTGAAACAAACTCTGGAGTGGATCGATTGTAGTGAGAAAGCAATACGATCTGAACCAGGCTATATCACAGAGTATTATAGATATTTAGGCATATTTACGGTTATTTGAAGAGAAAATTATGAGTAGGGCGGGATGTCATCATTCCTACCAGTAAATGTGCATTTCATGTCAAATATGAAAGTGAAAACATGTCAACTTTTACCGAGAGCTGTTTATCCGGTAGGAAAATAAATGGACTGAACTGCAGTCTTGGTTTATCTGTTATTTCTCTCTATAATGTAAAGCCTATAATGCATAAACCAACTGCTATGAGAGAGTCTTACCTCTGATTTATATTTGGTGACAATGTTTGTGGGTGTCACCAATTTAAAATTAAAGCGCAGCTTTATGCTTATAATGTCTTATTGCTCATTGCCATAAACAAAAAAAAGACAGCTGAGCGGGACTCTGCAAAATAAACTGTGAAACTCTGACCAACGTGAGGGGAGTTACACACAAGTGGCTCGTTTTAGCACTTTTGGTCCGTTTAGAAATGTTACCATGTGAATGCAAACTGCACCAAAAACAAAAAAGAACATTGTAACAATTTTAATTCCTGTTTCAGAACAAAATAATCGATCCACGTGTGTGAAAGCACCCTCAGAATCGATGCAGAATCAATTTCTCAAATTATTTTTCATTTTTTTAAATTGTAAAATTTATTGGGTCATTCTCACTAAAAAGCAGATCTGATTGGACAAAAGTTTGGACGTGACCGTGAGTGCAGGATGAGTCATCAATACTTCTGGTACAATTAACAGAAGAAATAGACTGAGTTTAGACCAAATGATTTTGAATCAACTTTTATGAATATAGTTAACAGTCTTACATGTTACTACTTTATTGAAACTAGTATGTTAATTTTTATTTGTTTTTCCTCATTTCATTAGAATGATAACTGCATTTCGGTTTCCAATCCATCATAATACAACTGTGTAATTGAAATTTACTCATATACTTTTACCAATATTTAAGTAATGAAAAAATAAATTGAACATACCATTATTATCTGAAGCAGTGAGCAACAACAGTTTCTGAAAAAAAGAGTTGTATCTAATTCGTTAAAATGTCAGTACACATGCATTGATAAACTATAGCACAGTTTCCCTTAATGCATTAGTAAATTATTTAACATTTTACCTGTTTTAATAAGACCTTGCAGTACAGCTAAGGGTAAGCATTTGCAGACAGCACTGACAAAAACAACGTTATATAAACAGTTACCAAACAGCTTACCTAAAGGGCGAACCATGTCTCAAGAAGTTCCCCGGCTTGTTCCAAGAGACCTTTCTAAAGAACAGGATTGTGGGTCATGTTAAAAATAGTAGCCTCGACTGCCAGTAGCAAATTACATGACCTGTAGATATACTGTATAAAAACAGACAATCATTTTCTTCAAATAAAAGGCTATCTGTTTTGTCTATCTTACTCTAATTAAAATTACCATGCTCAGGTCAAACAGAGGACAGCAGATTAGCAGAATGAGTTTTTCCAAAGAAAAAAAAAATTGTAATGTTTCATGAGTGGGTCACCAGATGGCAGTCATTCCCTTTGGATTGGAGGACTGGGCTTCACATGCACATGTTATTTATTTAGGGAACAGTTTTGATAGCTGGACAAAAAATGTGTTCTTTATCATACTTTTGATATTGACCTTTTTTATGTTTTGTTAATAATGTTTTTGTCATGTGATGCTCATAATGTTACTTTGACTTCATCTCAAGGTTTAGGGATGTCCAAATATACATCCTTTTATCAAACTGCCTATCCTATAAGGGGCTGTAGGGTTGGTCCAGGACTAACATGCGACATATAATACAAAATGATCTGCCTTGTTTTTAGCCATACTTTGATTGCACAGAAAATAGATGTGCAGTTTGGCCAAACATTAAAACAAAATAATTATTTATTTTGAACAATCTAGAATTAGCAGTGAATTTTATTGAACCTAAAATATATTTTCAAATATATTTATCACATATTCAAAATTAATTTTAGAGGGAATAATATATATATATATATATATATATATATATATATATATATATATATATATATATATATATATATATATATATATATATATATATATATATATATATAAATATATTTCAGGGCGGCACGGTGGCTCAGTGGTTAGACTGTCGGGTCACAGCAAGAAGGTCGCTAGTTCGAGTCCCGACTGGGTCAGTTGGCATTTATGTGTGCTATTTGCATGTTCTCCCCGTATTCGCATGGGTTTCCTCCAGGTACTCTGGTCTTCCTCACAGTCCAAAGACGTGCTATAGGTGAAATGAATAAACTAAATTGGCCAACGTGTATGTGTGTGAATGGGTGTGTATGGGTATGGCTGCTTAAAACATATGCTGGATAAGTTGGCGATTCATTCCACTGTGGCGACCCCTGTTAAATAAAGGTACTAAGCTGAAGGAAAATGAATGAATGAATGAATGATTTCAAAATATATAAAACATCTAAAATATATACAATTTTTAAAATATGTTTTTAAATAATATATTTATGTAAATAATATTTGTAATATTCTAATAATGTGTCAATATTATTTGGTAATTTTTGGATATTCTTATATATTTTAAAAAGATATTAAACACATTTCAAAACATATTTGCCCATATATATTTAAATAAGAAAATAGGATTCTAGCTTTATTTTTATGCCTAAACCATCTAAAGTAATAATAAGTTATAATATAATAAATATAATATAATAAATATAATATAATATAATATAATAAATATAATATAATATAATATAATATAATATAATATAATATAATATAATATAATATAATATAATATAATATAATATAAAAAAATCAAGAATTTTGAACCTCAGTTACAAAATAGGCTATATGTATTTCATAGTACACAGGCTCATACAACTTCTACAAAGTGACCCCAGGAGGGTGTAGTAGCCTAAAAAGTAAACCCAGCAGCAGCAGCTCAGTGGTGTAATCATGTCCTGATGTCGTCCTGTAGGTGAGCGGGATCAGACCAGTAGGAGTCACCGCGAGCCTCGCTTTCTCCCTCTGCTCTGCTCAATCTCTCCGTGATCCAGCAGGGAAACAGAATGCCGGAAGTGGGGTTTCGGGATACAGAGTTTCGGGACTCGTAACCGTTGAAAGTTCACACTATCAAGAAACCTACTTTCCCCGAGAATCAAAGCTTTTCCGGTAGCTTGTGTTCGTCAGCCTTTGTTTCACCGTTTCATTCATCCGGACGTTTACAATGGGGCTCCCGGCGCTGGAATTCAGCGACTCTTTTCTGGACAGTCCTGACTTCAGAGAGCGACTCAAATGCCACGAAATTGAACTGGATCGTACCAATAAATTCATCAAGGAACTAATCAAAGATGGAAATATGCTTATCAGTGCGCTTAAAAGTAAGTTACAGGTCGTGTATGTGTGTTTTGAAAAGTAAGTGATGTATTGAGATTTAACTCACACGTGATCTGACTTTAATTCTTTTTTCTCTAGTTATTGTTGTTACATTATTTAAACTATTTTTGCTAGTTTTAATTTACTTTAACCGTGTGAGGGGAAAAGTGAGAATTCACAGCACTGATGTAGATTAGATAGAGCAGTGTAGTTGAATGGGTTTGTGTTTTCTAAAAAGAAAGGAACTTGTGTAGTGCCTGACCTTTTGCCCTGTTAAACACCTACTGTAGATATTTTATCAAAATTAGTGAAACTGCAGATTTAGAAAAGTGTGTAAATGAGCCTTCTCTGTCTTACACTTTGCTTTTAATTAACCTGTGTTTATCAACTCTAATATCTAGCAGGTTTTAGAAGTGAGTATGTTCAGGCCGGGGTTGTGGTGTGTGTGCATGTGCCATCATCAAACGCCTGTTTCTTCAGCTTGGATCTTATATGATATCAAGAAGAAGACGAGTCTCTACTAGATATGCTGTTATCAGCCACTTCGCTAACATGGCTCCTCCTTGCCTCCCTCTAGATATGTTTTCTTTGCACTAGTCTTAGTCTTTGAACTTCTCAAGTCCATTCAGCACTGACTATTTTTTGTTAGTTTTAACAGTGTTCTCTTTCACAACTTTATCCTTTATTCTCTGCCACAAAGCAGTCCAGCTGAAGGCTCCTTCTGGCTTTTGTGCCAAACAAAAGGGAGTGAATGTCTTCCCAAAAAAGGGCTTTGAACTAAGTCTTTAATTGAGTATTTGTGAGGTCATGTCCTTCCCGTTTGACCAAACAAATTGTTAGTAATGAGTAAGTTGATGTAAATATGCTGAAATTGCAGTAAAGCTCCATCACATAACTCTGTTGTCTTCTGAACAGGTCTTTCTGCAGCTGTGCAGAAATTCTCCCAGTCGCTTCAGGATTTCCAGTTTGAATGCATTGGAGATGCTGAGACCGATGATGAGATTAACATTGGTAAGTAATTAGCAAGTAACCAAGATGTTAATTATATGTGCATTTGATGTAGTTTATCCAGGTTTATTCATGCATCTCAAATTGTGAAGTTTTGCAAAATGTTTGAGCTGCTCAAACAATGAAAGTTGGTTGGCAGTAAACGTTGTCAGGTCTAAAAAAATCAGGAGCCTAACTCCCATAGACATCTAGAAAATACACATAGACACATGGAGAATTAAGTTGTCTTAATTACTATGTACTTACATTTTAATTAATAATTTGGTACAATGCATTTATTACGAAAATGTTTAGGAATTGTATTTATGTTATAAAGTTATTTACAGGCCTGTAATAAATTTTTGTAAATACTTTTATCATTATGCTGTTGACCCATTACACCTTAACCCACCCTCATACCACAAAACCTGTCCCTAACCTAATATCACATCCCACTTCAGTAGCACCAGTGTTCTGCAATACAATATGAACACAATAAGTATATTAGTGTAAAGTCAAATCTTTAGGCTATTCCTCTGCCATTTTTACCCCGTATAGACCATTTCAATGGGATGTTGCCATTGGCCCACGAACATTCGCTGCTTGTTATCAAGCTATTTCATAACTGTAACAAGATGCAATTAAATCATTACTTAGCATTTAAATAGCTATCATAACATTATTTATCAATATGTGGACCTTTTTGTATTCTTGTAAGCTGAAGAAGTAAAAAATGTAAAACAGTAAATAGATTAGGACCATTGTTATTGTTTACATCCCTCAAAAAGGTCTATAAAAGGGTTGTTATTAAAATACAGCACCATAATTCCTGTGCAAAGTGTCAGATTAAAGGCATTTATCACACTGTAATTAAACGGCACAAATGTATGATGCAGACTCGCTTGAACGGAGAGGTTTTTTTGTCATGTGTTGATTTTATATTTGTTATACAGTTTGTTGGGGATTTGCTTTATATTATCATGTCACACTTGATGTTAAAGGGCCTGAATGCTGAAAGAGAGCAAGCTAAAACTCGCAGGGCCCTATCATACACCCGGCGCAAGGCGTGACGCAATTGTTGTTTGCTAGTTTCAGCTCGGCGCAAGAGTCGTTTTGACGTTTTGCAAATGCACGTAATGCATTTGCGCTCATACGTGCGCCCATAGGCGTTCTGGTCTACAAAAGGAGGCATGTTAAGGCGCGTTGCTATTTTGAGAAACTTAAATAGACTGTTCAGTAGACCAGATCAACGCAGGTCAATAGTCCAGCTCAGAGCACATTATTTGTGCGCCTCGCTTGCACATTGCTTAATACACACAGGATGTACAACAATACGCAAACGTCTTTACAAAAATAGAAATAAAGGATTAAAATATTACAAAAATTATTGTTTTCTAGCCTACATGAATATACAAACCACCGCCTCCATGCCTTCTTCATCTCGTGGGGCTTTTTCAGTTAATTCATGATAACTTGCTTTTGTATAATGTTATTATTATTAACAATAATATTTATTATATCCATATTTATATTTGTTTTAATAAAAACAAGCTTAGATTTGCCCATCTTTCAGGATTCAGACCATATGGGGCATAGCATGTGTATTTGGAGATAACCTTGTTTTTTGACCACACTTCGTTATTATTGTTCAATTATGTATAGGCTAATGGATGTCTGTGCGTACAACACGTTTCCCTATCCATGAGAGTTAAAGTGAAAGTAAAGAATGAGAAGGCTCATCTTTTTTTCTCGCGCTGTAGATACTCTGTTTAACTGTTTTCTCGCTAGTGAAGGGTTAAGTTTTTCCACTTACAAAGTCCGCCATGTAAATAGCAAACGCGCTATGGCAACTGGCTCTTAAAGGGAATGGGAGATGAGACTCTGATTGGTTTATTCTCAAAACACACCTATAACTCATTAAGAAAATAAGCTAATCCCTGTTACGCCCTATTCACACGGGGCTTCAGCGTCAACGCTTCCCATTCACTTTGAATGGGTGACGTCAGGCATTGCCGAACTGCATTGTGGATCCGTCGGCGCCGCTTCAGAAGCGTTCCTCGCTGCAGAAGTTGGGAC